CGGATTACGGCAGGGGTTTACAAGGGCACCCCCCCCCCCCCCGCCCCCCCTCTCACCTGAGCGTTGTACGTGAGCCCCCCCTCCGGGTCCTGCCACTTCACGGACGGCAGGCTGCTGTTCGTCGTCTCCATCTCGGGGTCGGCGCACGTGTAGTTCCTCGCCCTGTCCCCCACCACCTCCAGCATGCGCATGCTCTTGTTCGCCTCCGTCTCCTTCTTGGCCAGGTCCTGCGCGATAGCCTTGGTCAGGCACTCCGCGAACTCCGGGATCATCTGTGTGTGTGTGGGGGGGTTACTTGTGTAAACGCATGCCGTGGTCGGTAGGCCATAGACCTCGCCTGCCGGGTTTTCGCCTCTTCAGGCTACTATTATTCGTTTGCAGGACGACGGGGGGCGGAGTGACGGCAAGGCATGTCGTAGTCTTTCGATGTCAGACGTCGCACCCCCCTATAAAGCTGGTGCGGGTCACGTCGCATTGTCCCCAACAAGGCTAGCATAGCACCAAGCGCAAGGCACGGGGTGGTGGTGGTGGGGGGATGCTGTCTAACCCAGAGCCCCGCGGTCACCATCAGCCTACATACACTCGTTTCCACAAATTAAGAGAAAAAACGAAAACTTGTGGTACTAGCGCTTCAGGCGACGAGGGCAAAGACGTACGATAACCGTCTACCGCAAGCAAACAGCACAGGAGGCCCAACAATGTTACAGTTCTCATCCGCGCGTCCCCCGTCAGGGTGCACCCCCCAATGCAGCTCTCGTACTTCATCAGCCACCCGATGACGAGCACGGTCGATCGATGCTACCGAAATAGAGACGCGCAAGCGCGCGCATGAAAAAAATACAGCTCCTGGACGGTGTGTGCGTGTCTTCTTATTTCGCATCGACCGCGCTAAATGGCTGATCAATGACAAGACGTCAGTCTCAGAGTGCGGTTGAAACAGCTTCCAAAGGCCATCATCTGGGACCCCGTGCACGTGTGTCTTCATACCTCATCCTCGCCCTGGGCGCCGGCGATGGTACAGGAGCCCTCCGCCGCGGCCAGCCCCTTCCGCTTCGCAGTCGCCTTGACGACCTCGGGGCTCCGGCGGCACACCTTTGAGGCTGTTTCCATGAGTCTTGTGGTGCGGGTCATCGCGCTCTCCGCCACGTGCACGAGGTTTCCTTTCGCATCTCGGGAAACGGTCACCTTCGCATGGGGGGAGAGAGAGGGTGGTTTATTGTTGTTGTTATAGTTGTGTATTGGTCGCGCCAACAAAAGTCGTCAATGACCTCTCGCCTAAGACACCTACCTCGGAGGTCCGGAGGTTCGTTCTCATGGGGACACTCGCGTGCGATACGATACAATACGATTTCTCCGACAGAAGCTGAAAATCAATAACCCAACAAATCCAAATCCACACTTCCGGAAGACACGGGGGCGCTGTTTTCGGCTCAAGAAATGCAACGTGTATGCAAGACTACACCACAAGGCCAACCAAGCTCAATACGCAGTCAACAATCTATCCCGATAGGCTGGTAGCCACATACTCCATCACAACCCGTCGGTAGGCACGCAAAAGCAACATTTTCTTCGAACGAACTTACTATAGTCTGTCATGGGGGCGCGGAAGTGACAGGTAGAACCCAAACCATTGCCGCACCGCCCTTGGTCACGAAAATCAAAGACAGACCAACACACGCACAATTCCCCGACGAAGAGTCTCTTCCCCAAGGTTTAAGGTTAATTGTTGCACCAACACGTTTCACTCCGATACTGCTCTCTTTCCTCCAAATCTACAACCCCCCCCAAAAGCCACCAAAACAAACGCAGGAAAAAGAAAAAGAGAAGAATAATATCGCTGCAGTAGGGGAATTTTGCGCGGCAAACATCTACCGCACGCAAACGCATCTCCTGTATACCCCGTGCGTGTTCCGCTTAGTCGCACCTCGAGGTCGAACTCCCCCATTGTGAACATGGCCATGATCTTGGGGTTCCATAGCTCGGGCTTGTAGTTCGTCAGGCCCTCCGCGTGCTGTAATGCGTGTCGGCCACAGCATGGTAGAGGTCGGGTATTCCAACATGAAGAAGCAGGATTGGCAGGCGGGCGTTCGTGAGGTTCGCGGCAAATTGTACGTGGAGGAAAAGATATGAGTCCAGCAGGCATTCCTCTACACTAACGGTAAAAAGACTTGATGCTCCTTCCATTGGGGCAGTGCCTCCAACGGGTATCTAGTATTTCTGTGATTGCGTGAATGTTTTGTTCTTCCGAAGGAGGAAGGGAGGAAGGGGACACGCCAGTACTCACTAAATGTACTTCCATACCTGGTGCAAATTAATGCATTTATGATACATCATTTTTTCGCCTTTTCGTGCCTAGGATCACGAGCAATATCAGCGCTCGAACATGTATACGTACGACAAAACACGACAACAACGCACGCGAGCTGCCGACACAGCGCAATATTGTAAAACTCAGCGTCAAGCGAGACTTCTTCGCGAGATTGTCGTACCTGATCGTCGACGACGAGGAAGCTGTGGCCGTAGTACGAGTCCACGTTCAGGCTCCCATTGGGCACGATCGGCTCCTCCTTCTGCTTCACCAGGGCCCCCTTGCTCCACGTGTTGATCCAGTACACTCCCAATTCTTCGTCCACCTACAGATAGATTGCATCACCAAGAGGTTCCGCAACGTGAAAACAAAGCGGACCAGAAATTCCCTCCGTATATACTGCGGACAGAAAACACTGCAAAACGCTAGCTAGCACTTTGGTATTACAGTCGTCCCTCGGTTAACGTCACACAGGGTTTATACAGGTGTCCTTAAGCCGGGGAAGGGTCCTTAAGGTCGATACCCCTGCTTATGTTGTACATTCTGCGGGGCACCGTGCATGTGGACAAAAACGTGTGCTTAACCGGGGGAGTATCCTCAAAAATGGGGTCCTTTTACCCGAGGCGTGACTGTGTCAGAGTCCCACTGGACAACAGCGGTAAACGTGACGTGTTAGTCGTCGCCTGGCGTGGCCTCACGACAACAAGTAGCCTCCCCTCATGAAACACACAACACCCCCAAGAGTAAATCGAACAACTCCTCTTTCTGCCCGCCGGAAGCTGTAAGCAGCCTTGATTCGTATCGGAGGGTTCTTTCTTCTAAACGGGAGGCACGTCAAGGCGCACTCAAACACACACACACACACACACTCCTCTGTCCAGTCTCACTCCTCACTCTCCTTGCGGGAGGGGGGGGGCAGACAGCGCTGCTGCATTTCTTGTCCCGCCAAAATTGACCGGGCACAGCAGCATTTCCCAGAACCGACTGTATGCCTACGCGGGAACGAGCGTCGGCAACAACAAAATGCGGCGGGACCGCTGCGGCAAGGCTGCGTCGCTATCGCGAAGGTAGAGCGACGGACCGTGTACACATGCGCACCGCACGAAAGCTGCTACGTACATGTCGGTGGTAAGGCGGTAACAAGCTGCATCCACAGGCTCGCTCTCTTTCCTCTCTTTCTTTCCTCGTTTCAAAGCCATTAGGTTTTCGTTCTTTGCGCTCTCCTCAACTTTTGGTTCATCTCTCCCTGCTTAAGCTTATGGCCCTTGTGTACAACATAAGCTCTCGACGTCCAACTGAGTTCGTGGGGACAAGCGCCACAGCAATGCACTTGTCCTGTTAACGAAACTTGAACTATTGGCAAAACCCAAAAGCAACGATGTGTTAGGTTGGACATACTCGTACAAAGGCTGGCATGTCACCGAACAACGCTGCGGCGCAAATCGGCAGCTGCTGTCAGCGCCAAGCCAAGTGGGATCAACTCTTCGATGGAGCTCCAACTTTCAATTTTCAATCATGTGAGATCCAGCTCCTGTTTGTCGCCAAAGCCTTTTCGCATCGTTTTTCTGCTGACCAATTACGAGACGAGTCATTTTCATTGGCCAGCTGGATGCACGTGTAAATAGATACAAGTATGAAAAGACTCCACCACACCCCGTTCGACTGTGGGTCTATCTCGAATGCGTAGTCTTTCTGTGTGTGTACTTACTTTTCCTTAAGTATGATCTCGGAATTTCCTTCAGGTAATAGGTGCAACTTGTGCACAGCTGCGGCCTACATTGCTCCCACCCCTTTTGCTCCGCGGCATAGGCTTACGCGTAGCAATGACCTAGCTAGCGTTGTACCGCCACCACCTCCCCCTACCTGTTTCGTACTCTACTTGCGGTGCATGGGTGTGACACAGACGGCGATGTTTCTTTTTACTGCCCATAACTTTCAGTCAGTATTCACAGCTGACAGAATTTCTGCCGGGTACATACGAGGTAGCTCGAATCAATCCGTGGTCACACAGAGAGGGTTCCTCTCCCTGAGGAACCCTACCCACCCACCCCTCCTGCGGTTCTTGCCTTCTTCGAGTTTTAACGCGAGAAGAACTGAGCACTCTCTCCCTCACAAGTGTACACACCAACTACGAATAGCGCTTTCCAATTACTGCTTGTAGTAAATACCAGCAACGGCACGAGACAAGATGTCACAACACAGTCAACGCAGCCATTCGCTTTCGTATCGAACGGGCTTATTCTCAGAGTGCCAACATATCTGTATGCAAAGCATCAATAGCAGCAGCCACGGACACCGAGTTCAGGCAGGGTCGTCTATTCACTGCATGAATCAACGAGCTGCCACAACTGGAATATCACATATCCACTGCTGACTGCTCTGACTGAACAACAGGCTTCTGCTGCGGGTGATTTGCCCGCTTCAACGGATGGATTTGGAAGGAGTGGAAGAACAATTTTCGAAGGTGTGCTGGTACTTTGGTATGTAACAGCCAATACATCGCCTGCCCGGTGGGAATCGTGTCATCGTCATCGGCCGCTCTACGGAACTGAATTTGCGGCACCATTCGATATGTGCCGCTACTTCTTGACCTGCACATCACCGCTGCTGGTGTGTTGGGATGCAGGTTGTGGTTTGAACGAAGAGGCTGGCTCTTGGTAGAATTTTCTATTCTCAAGTTCAGAGCATACGAGCATACCGCTGTTTTTAAACAGCTGCTGCTATCATATCGTGCAGCAAGAATGTTCCCCAACAACGACAAGTTCAGTCAATTTCTAAAACGAGTCGTGAGGGAGTCGCACACAGGCTCGCGGCGACTCAGGCAGCAGCAGTCCTGCACCGAGGCCCCATGAAATGGGAGAGACATGTACTGCTGTACCGCTGTAGCTGCGTGACTGCTGCTGCTGCTGTCCTTCATCTAAAAATCGGAGAGATTGGACGAACAGGTTTGTAATGCTCTCCTGTGTCCACCCGTCGTCAACAACCCCCCCACCCGTCCCCCGAAAAGTTCCCTCACCTTGCTCAGGATCTGTACTCGAACGACGTTTTGCTTGGCACCGCTCACGCCTGCTGCCACCAGGCCGAGCAGCACAGCAACTGCAAGGCGGAATGCAAACATCGTCCCAGCTGCGATGTTCTCCGCGCTCGGCGCTTATGGTTTTCAATGCGACAGTTTTCCTTCTCTCTCTCCGACACGGACGGCAGTGCAGCAAGATGTGGCCCCAAGGACACTACTATATACCGCTACCGTAGGTCTTCAACTCTCTCGTTCAGCCGAAGTATACTGCTGTGTTCCGCAAGCGGGAGCTGTGTGTGCTCCCACCCTCTCTCCTAACACTGTGTGCTTCCTGCCCTAGATTTTGAATCCCCCCCCCCCCCTATATTTTATATTTTGTGGGGGATTTGTCGAGGCCCCGGGGGCTCCGTAGGGTGCTCATAGGCGTTGGGCTCGGCGCCCGGTAATACGTACATACACCCCACGACGTGCGTGCTCGCTCCTTTGCTCTCGTTTGTTTCTCTCCGAGGACCGCGATCAGCACTGCTCGGCTGTTGTCGTTGGTCTACTGTCCCCTTAGACTAGGAAATAGGAGCGAGGCCAGCCGTGTGGAGAGCGAGTTAGCCGGGTGTGCGTGCAGGGAGAGAGAACAATAACGGTCCTTCGCCAGCAACAGGCAGGGTAGCCTCTTCCTTCCACCGAAATATGATGGAGGCAGATTGGGCGAGGTGGGACGCGATCGAGCTGCCTCACGGCGGCAAGTTCAACTACTGGAACGAGCCTTATGCAGAGGTGTACGACTGGCACCCTTGGCTGCGAAAGTTCTACACGCAGCGCGAGATTAACTACGACTGCAAGGAGGTTAGTATTTGACGCCTCGACGGTTTACACGCTGCTGCCGGAGCTGGCGGACCTTCGACGGTCGTAAGCACTCATGCAGTTTGGGACCAGCGTTCGTGCGTTGGTGACTGCTTGTGCTTCTTCTGAAGTTTCTGAGCATGTTCCATGCGCTACGCCGCCGACCGTCCGCCCTCTCGCTTCCTTTCGGGAAGAGGTCGAGTGCGCTCGTGGGCGCTGGTAGACAGCAGGAGTTTGACAGCGATGTCTCGCTTTTGTCGAAAACAACAAAACAACAGCAAACGGTCACTGAATCATCACGCCTAAAAAGATCAGTCCCGAACTGGTTCTGAGCTTTGATCTGGTGCTCCGCGCCCCCGCCGACAGGCAGGAGAGCGAGTGAAGCCGACACCTGATGCCCTACTGAGCTCAGATCCTCCCTCTTATCCGCCGTGTGTGCGTCCGGCACTCTTCCTTCTGTCCTCATCTATCTCGTGTTTACAGATGATTAGTATGAGTTGTGGTCATGTGCGATCCTTTCAGTCATGTTTTCGTGTGGAGATTGGGCTAACAGCTTTTGGCGAGGAGAGACTGACTAACCCGCGCACGTAGAATAATACATTAGTACGGAGTGCGTCCTCGTGCCGACTGCTGTGGCTTCCTCTGAACAAACGATCGCACCGGTGTCGATCACCTACAGTATGTGTTGGATCTACACCACGGTAATATTGGTTGCAGAGATGGGGTGAAGTTCCAGCCCCTGCTGCAAACACAGCAGTGACCATTATGCACAAGAAGCGTGGGGGGGAGCGTGAAAGGGTGTGTGAGAGAGATCGCTTTTGAATGTTTTGGCGAACCCCGCCTCCCACACCAGGGAAGTAAGGGTAGCGCAGGGCTGGGCCTGGTAGTGTCACCAACAGGTTGGCTGGTGTAGGGTACCTGCCTGCATGCACGAAGGCCAGCGTGCATGATTGCAGTCCTTTTTTTTTTTTTTTTGCATGAAACGCCATTCCCGTTCGGGGGCGTTAGCGTAACCATGCATCGCCTACACGGCAGCGTTCTGCTGCTGTTGCACCACCAAAAGCTCGCAACAAGCCGAAGTCCGTCATCCTATTGACTGGCCGCTCCCGACATATTCCGAAAATCAAACGATGTGGCCGCAAGGGTGGCGCTGCGGGTGTGTATACGTACGCATGTTGCGCCCAAAAAGTGAGCGCTATTTGTAAGTTGATCGGGTTCAGGGGAAAACGGTTGCTATTTTCGCCGTTTGTCATAACGGCCGACGATTTTCTCACGTGACAGGCCTTGGCAAGGACTTGCAACTACCTGGAGCTTTGGTTGAGTTGGCTCTCGCCTGTTAGTACGCTCCCTCCTTGTCTGTTTCATGTCACACCGTCTGGTGATTCTGCAGCGTGAAGCGGAACGTTTCGGATTTTTGAAGGCCCATGTGTGGCAGGATCGAGAGCGACTGAGGGTAGCGCGTGAACGAGCCCTTCGTGCGTTTAGGCGTTGCATTCGTACCCGTTCGTGTACCCTGGGTGCCTTGCCTTTCCGCACGCGTGCCCAGAGCACGCCAGTGGCATCAGATACAATTGTAGGGAAATTCGTACGTGAAATAAAAACGTGGGCAAAATCGCCCTTGGTATATGCACACATGTACGCAAACACACATATGATAGTTTCGTCCCACTTTAACCGACATCCGTACCGAATACATGTGGTCTTGTGAAACCCAGATTTGTTGATCCCAGTGGTAGTACTATCTGGAGCCGTCCCAACCGGACCCAGGTTAGCGTTACCCTTACGCGAAAAAAGCGCCCACGCCTGTTGGGGCGTGGCTCTGCGTCCTCGCAAGCGTGAACTCGACCTCTTCTTGAGTCGTCTTTTCTCTCCAAAGGTACGCGTGATACAGCAAACAAGAAACAAGCGAGCTACCCCTTCCCCGAAGCGAAAGCTCTCTAAATCCTCTTCTCCGGCCGTGCCCACGCTCGTTGGTTGTACCGCTATCGTAGGCGTGGCATTGGACCCGCGAAAACAGCCCCTGGCTGCCCATTCTGGTCTGCATGGGGTACCTCGCTTTCTGCTACGTGGGTCCCAAGGTGATGGCGAACCGGAAGCCGTTCGACTTACGGAGGCCGCTGATTGCGTGGAACTTCTTGCTCTCGGCTTTCTCCTTCGTTGGGATGATGAGGTGAGGGAACACGGGGGGCGGGAGGAAACGGCAGGATAGTTTTACACGTTGTGTGAGGTCCGAAGGACAGGTGTACTTTGTAGGTCATGGTCATGAGGAGCGAGTTGAGCAAGGTTCGGTACGGTTGGCCCCGTCACGTAAGAATCTCTTGGCCCCAAGGCTTGCGTTCTTGATTTCCTCTGCTGTTTGGGATGGGGGCTATTATATAGGGTTATAAGCAAGGTATTATATGTATAGGTTGCCAGCAAGTTATTCAATCATTTTGAAAGTTGCACCCTCCAGCTCTGGAATGCTCAGTTCTCGAGTGACGACGCGGTCTGTAGTCCGAGAGAGATGGGAAGGGAATACGGCAAGTACCGGGTGGGATATGTCAAGAAGGATAGAGAAACGACGCTCGGCCGGGGTGGGAGAGCTAGACATGGACAGATTGCAGAGAGCGAGGGAGAGGAAAACAAAAACGTAAAACAGGGAAGGACCGGATCGTTAACCCTTACGTGACTGGGTCGATTTGGATTTTTTGTTTTTTTCCCCACAACTGGCTCTCTGCGGTCAAAGATCTTTCAAGCATGCGTGTACACCCATAAATCACGGCGGCAAGGATGGTGCAGCAGTGGGTCCATGTGTGGGGCTCACAGGGATGGGGACGCGGTATATGTAAGGGTGACGAACAGGAGTACAGTAGTACTACTGTTGTACAGCAGTAGCAGCTATGCGGAGAGAAATAGACTGCTGTACAGCAACAACAGTAGTTTCTGAGCAGGTGTGCATGCCTGTCTCCGACAGCAACCGTCCGCACAGAGCATGTGCCTGTGCAAGCAATATCTGTTGGCATATCTTCTCCACCTCATCCTTGGACAGAGCACACGGAAAACGCATATGCTAGCGGCGCTAGATGCGAAGACGCTGACGGGAAAACGCCTCACAGAAGTGCCAGATCGACGAAAAAAACGTCCCGCTCATCAGAGAATCGAGACCATCATCCACTATCACACAAAACGCATAAAAATCGTGATAATTTTTACTTTTCTGTACTACAAATAGAGAGCTGTGATCGGAGCTGTAGTCCCGAAAACCCTTGCCTTTGAGCGAAATTTTGCACACAGCAGACGAACCACCCTTCACTCCCAATACTGGGAACCACACGCACCGCAATCACAACAACCACCGAGGCAGTACGTTAGCATCGGCTCCGGTGTGCGCTTTCTCTGCTCTCCCCCGCGGATGCGGCACCGGGTTGATCACATGTGCAGGGTGCTGTATGTACCCTCCGGTGGTATTTTGCGTTTGAATCTTACAGCAGTACCGGTAGGCAGTAGATTGGATCTGGAAAGGATATCTGCCCCACGTCAGAGAGATGAGGCATGGGTGAACAGTATTGTACTATGTGAGGCCTGTGCGCATTGCTGATAAGCGTGCTTTTGGGGTGGGTTGCCTGTGTCTCCCTGCTGGTCTCTATGTGTGTTTTTTGCTCTTAGCCGAGGCACAACGGCGATCTTTCGGCACGCAAAGTGATCGAAGCTGAGAAGGGAGCTGAATCGGCCTGTAGGGTTAAAAGCAGTACCATGACGTAGGTCTAGCTACGACAAGCTTTTATGATGCAGAGCATGAGATGCAAAGCAGGGAGCACAGCAGTTTCGAATCTCCCTTCCGTGGGAGGAGCACGAACAAACCTTGTACAGTATACAGTATGCATGTGCCGTGATGCCGTGTACTCTCTTGCTTGACTCGGAGAACAGGGCGGGTGCGGGTGGGGGATCGTTGACCCTGGCCCGACTCTCTTGGCCAACCACGCATTTGCTGGTGCAGTGGCGCTCGTGCACAAGGGAAATACGCGGAAATGAAGGGAGAGGGGGCGTGCTTGTGCTTCCGGAAGATAAATTTTGTGTTGTCGAGAGGTTTGACGGAACGAATTCGCGTGCGTGTTCGCTGAGGAACCCCCTCCCCTATGTCCCCCGTTTTCAAGAAGTCCGGTGATGGGTCTCCGACTTCCGATTTTGACTAAACCCGTTGATAAAACTTGCCGCACCCAATGGGAGTAGAGAAAGAAGAACAATTGGTTGGTGTAGCAATAGTGTCCGATTTATGCTTGGTTCCTCTGGTATGCAAACTCCTGCGTCTCCTTCCTCCTATTATATGTCACCCCGACTGATGTCCTGGGCATCGTGAATGTACAGTGGGGATCCCTCCATACCGGCCAGTTGAATAGTGCCGCTGCTCGGTATAGTACAGATGACATCGCGTTGACACGGATGGAAACCCCGGGGTGTATCATTCTCTGAATAGTGCCGGTCAATCTGGCGGGCGCATACCGGCACTTCTGCGGGACTCCCAATACTGTAGAACCGAGTATCAAGGTTGACCGCTTACCCATCAACTCTGTCCTTGGCCCAACCTCGATCCCCAGGACGGTGCCTCACCTGGTCCAAATCCTTTACGTGTACGGGTTCAAGTATACCATTTGCGCCAAGCCCACGATGTGGTACGGATCCGGGGCCGTCGGGATGTGGACTCAGGCTTTCGTTTTCTCGAAGGTGAGGGAAGACCAAGTACTTTCCAAAAGGGGAGGGGTTGACGCACGGGGAGGGGAGGGGAGGGGGCACCGCAGATAGAATAGTCGCGCAGGGAGGGGAGGTTACTTTATCGTTTGTTGATTTCAGGGGTTGCTTTTTCGTTTGCCGATTCATCGGCTGCCCTCGTGGGCATTGTCCAACCCTGGTTCAATTGTCCGTTGAAGTGAATGACCCAACTTTCCTTCTGCCTGCCGTTCTCTCTCCTCCTCGCGTTGTCCCCCTCTCCCTTTCCTTTCTGTCCATCGCTTGTCCCATCCCGTGCTTCCGTTCCCTTCTCGATCCCTGCATTTATAGATCCCTGAACTGGGCGACACGATCTTCGTCGTGTTGAGGAAAAAGCCTCTCATCTTCCTGCACTGGTACCACCACGTGACGGTGCTGCTTTACTGCTGGCACTCGTACTTCGAGCAGACCACCTACGGCCTCTACTTTATCAGCATGAACTACACCGTGCATGGTGAGTTCGTTTTTCGGCGTTGCTTCTGTTGTTGAGCGACTCCACGCTACCATGTAATAGGCCTGGGGGTCTAAACCTGTTACACGTCCTAGCAGAGGTGGTAGGTTTCGGAGGGTTGCTGCTGTTATTTAGCAATGTACCGTAGAAACAATTCGAGTGTCTTGCAAAGTGTTGTGTGTTTGTTGTCCCTTCTGCTTCGGTAGTAGTTACGCCTTGTGTGTTGTGCATAAAGTCGATGCTTTACAAAGCTGGGGAAAACAACGAAACACACACCAAATCACAATCTGCTTCGACCCCATTTGTTCCTGCTGTTCTCTCTCTCTCGCGCGCGCGCTCGTGTGCACCACCTATTTGACTTGCCGTGCAGCGCTCATGTACCTATACTATGGCCTCGCTGGCATGAGAATCCGCCTTTGCAAGCCTTACTACATCACCACCATGCAGATCAGCCAGATGGTTGTTGGCATCGCCGTTTGCGTGGCAGGGGGCTACTACATGGCCATGGGTGAGTAGCAGGAAAGGGGGCAGAAGTTATTCGGTTTGTTGCTGAGGGCAGGGGGAATTTTGTTATCTTCTGAGTCCTTTATACCGCCGGAGGCTGTTGCTGCGGCGTCATGGGTGAGGTATGAGATGCCGTGGAAGTAGCTCCATCCGCCCTCGCTGGCCTACCGTAGGTGACGTAAGACAACACACCCCCTCGACCGATTTTCAAAGCTGGAATGCTCCACAGCAGAGGGAGAGGCGGTGCCAAAAGTGGCGGCTCGTCGAGAACTTTTCCGAGAACGCATCGTTTGATTCACGCATCCTCTTCGTCTTGGAGCAACAGAAGTTTGAGAATCGGGCCAGGAGGTGTGGCATGTCATGTCACGTACTGTGCCTGTGCGGGTGGCGAGCGCGCTGCCCGCGGCAAAGGTAAAGATCGGGGGGAGGGGGGGGCGGGGGTACGCGGCGTAATGACCCCGTTGCACCTACCAGCGGGCTGGGCTGAAGCCCCCGGGGCATGTACTGTATCGACAGATACTCTCAGAAGAAGCTCGAAGAGGTCAATAGGCCAAGATGGTGGTGAGCTCTTGGCCTTTTCGCCCTTCTGGTGGAGTATTTCGCAGGTGCACCTGCGTTTCCTCCCCTCTTCGAGGTTCTCCTGGAACATGTGTCGATAACACGCCCCAGAGGCATCTAACAGCCCGGGTACGTAGGTGCAGCGGGGTTCGTTCACGGCACGGAACCCCCCCCCCACCCGAACCTTTGTATTTGTAGCTGCCCCCCACCCTCTGGCTTTTGGCGCACATGTCCCGGGAGGCGGCTAACGTATCCGTATCTTCGTGATCATGTTCTCACCTCACCCTGGGCAAGGGGTTCATGTTTGCTGCTCCGTGCGAGTGCTGCTATATACTGCTGTCGCGTCCGAAGTGTTGCCCTTTGATTGCATCTCTCAAGTTTTTGAACCCAATCCCCCCTTGGTAGCTTGGTAGCACTGCTTGCAGCAGTATCCACTTCTTCGCCCACTGGCGTGTTGCGTGCTTTTTTTTTCGTTGGTTATATCTTCTCCGCGCTGGTGTCTCTGGTTCTTTCCCAGTCTGATGTGAATTGGCCCCTACCCACCCCCCACCAGCCAGGGGAAGAAGGTGGCTAACTGGGGTTGGACAAGACGTAAGAAAAGCTATTTTGAGCCACCTTTGGCAACGTAGCAAGGAACGATTGGCCATCGGCGATCGGTTCCTGTGGTAGCAATGCTCCGTCCTCACGAGGACGCGTGGTCAACGGTCTATAACAGCTGAGGCATTCGAAACATGAGCACCCCCGCCCCCCCCTGTTCTACGCGCCTCCCAAATCCCTTGGACTGACTGTCACGTGCAACACAGGCGAGACGAAGTTCATTTCCAGGCCCAACTTCCAGGCCGGCGTCCTCATGTACTTCTCGTACATGCTGCTCTTCTTGCAGTATGCGCTAGGCCGCTTCTTGCCCAAGGCTGGGAAGAGCAAGGTGACAAGAGACAAATTATGAAATAGTGATGATTGCCACCTTGCTGACAATGTACTTATTCACCACTGGCAGGGTAAATGGTGCATCCCCCGTAGGCCACTACGTCCTTCTTTGGACTATTGGACTGTTGGTAACGTTGACATACACGGCCGTCCTTCTTTGGACTATTGGTAACGTTGACATACACGGCTATCCTTCTTTGGACTATTGGCAACGTTGACATACACGGCTATCCTTCTTTGGACTGTTGGTAACGTTGACATACACGGCTGTCAGCAAAGAGAACTGGCTGTCAGCAAATGTTTTGTTAATCTTTTTTCGGACATCCATCCATCCGGCGGCGATCGTTTGTTTTTGATTTTCAGTTGCCCCAGGAGATGGATATGTTGGTAAAGGTGGTGTGTCCCGGAGGAGGGTTACTTACCTCATACCTCATGATTTTTTCTTGAAAATGAACAAATCATCAGTGTGCACACCGCCGCCGTGCACTACCTCGTTGCTTTCGACTGCATTTTTCGGCGGGAGTCTCTTAGGAGTGATGATTACCCGCCCTAATACGGTGCTTGATTGGAAGCATTTTTTGCCTTTGGTGGTCGCTGCTTGCTTCTGTGGTTTTGCTGTAGTTTTTTAGAGTGGTCGTGTGACAGTTCGTGCGTGTGTTCGTGTCGTGAGAGTCCTGTGCTGTCGAACTCTTCTACTCTGTTGTTTGCCATCCTCCTTTAGCTCGACACCTTGTGGCGACGGGGCTAGATTTCGGCGAGGATGCACCACCGTAACAATCGATAACAACTCTTACGCATGTGCTCTTTTTTTCTTATTTTTTTTTACTTCACTGTTCTACGGTCGTTCTCTTGCCTGTCGCGCAGGTGTCGAAGGGAGGAGGAGGCTCCGGGGCGGGAAAGCCTAAAACAGCTGCTTCTGGTGATGGCGGTGCGGGTGCCGCATCTTCGGTCGACCGAAAACCACGATCAAAGGCGGAGTGATTACGATTGGCTGGGATTAAATGCGGAGTGATTTGATTGGTCGGCGGGGTCCTCGCCACGGCGGCGGAGTTGTTGTTGTGGTGGGTGGCGTTGTTTCTGCATCATCGACTTCTCATGCGAGAGGAAAAAAAAAGTCAAGAAGAGTGATATGTAGTGAACAGCCACGGCAAACGAATTATTGCCGATCACGCGTTCGAGGGAGGTGTGTGCGTGTGCGTGTGCGTGTGCGTGTGCGAAGCACGGGAAGCCCCTGAATAGATGTTGGCGAGCTAGCTTGTCGCCAATGGTGTTGGATTTGTTGGTGGGATATGTGTGAGCAACTGGCAACAAATTTGACACGGGTTCCTTTTGAATTAGCAGCACATCGATAGATGGTCGGCCTTCGCATTGAGAAAAGAGGTGGTGGTTGTCGATCAGTAAATGTGTCGCCATGTGTGTGTGTTTTACGCACAGCACAACTAGACGCTACACGCAAGCTGCACACAACTTTCCCGAAAACTTCAGGAAATAGTTCTGAGAGAAAATAATATGTTCTGAGACATGATTCTGAGGGTCGCGCGACGTGCTTCGGATTGAAAGATCTCTTGGAATTTTGTCGTACTGTATGATGTCTTGTATGGAAACTGTTGTGCTGTTTTCTATTTTGTCTATTTTTTCTAAATGTTTTTTTTTTTTTGTAGCTTGTTCCGTCTTTTGATCAATTCATGACTTGATTGACGCGACAGCGGGAAACGCGGCGTGGGCGTCTGACGTGTTTTTGCGCTCCTCCTACTTGTACAGCACAAGTTGTGTTGGCTGGTTGGAGCTCGGCATGATTTCCAGACTGATTCAACAGATCAAAGCAACCTTTTAAACCTGTTGTGCGGCTCAAGTATGGTTTGATATTTCCGTAGGAACAGCAGTCAGACTTCACACCTGCCGTCGGTGCCACCGTGGCATGTTTCGCTTGTTGTTGTTGTAAGCTGCTGTGGGTCTGACGAATCGGCGAGCGAGTTTTAAAATTGTGAGCATCTGGTACGTATCGCGCGGGCAGCAATGCTGGCGAGATGAAAGAAGGCAACGCTGTTCTCCGTGCTTTGTGCTCGCTCCCTCCCAGAATAACTACCTTTCTTTTTAGTCATATTTTCTGTGTCGGGCCTACTCTGGCGTTTTATTTGTGATGTAGTTGTTGATCGATCTACTTCTATCTCGGCTGTGGCTGCTTACCAAAACGGCCGAAATTTGCTATTTCCACCTCGCTTGTAGCGGCGGGCTTGCGAAATGAGCTTAAGCCATGATGGAGTATGTATCGGTTCATCGACGTCGCGCGGAGCGGCATATGTGTGGACTTTGTTGACCGTGGACGCGATAAACACCCTTCTAGCCAGACAAATATGAAGTAGAGCTTCCCTCGAGCTTGGCAAGCGATCGATTGATGTGGGCATGGGTGCGATACAATCGCCGGTGTCTCGATGCATCAGTGAAGGAGTCTTGCGCGCGGGTACATACCCGCGGAACAATCGGGATGGTCGATAGCGTCAGACCTTGGTGCCTGCCGACTGCTGTAGTATGTTTCGGACACAGGTACAATAGGCAACAGGATGGGGGGAATTGGAGACCCTCTCCTGTCATAATTTAGGCGTGCTCCCGTTGTCTCGTTCCGTTCGCCACGCTTGCCTGCTGCACGCTTGCCTGCTGCACGCATGCAAGAGGAATGACCTGTCTGTATATGTTGGACCGACCCAGGCACGAAAAACACTTGCTTTTTTTTCACTCCGTAGACTACGTTAGTTTCATTAGACGACTTGTTATTGCTGCTGTGCTCCAGAACCATGCTTTCGTTTCTCTGCTGTTGTTTTGTGTTGATGACTAGGAGACTAGGAGAGTGGGACTGGTATGGTTTTGTTGCTGTTGGGTAGGCGGGTGTGATGCGAACACGTTTCTTTTTCGCGCGCCCGTGTTAACATGAACAGTTTTTTTTTTTGTGAAAGCCGTGTCTTTCTTCTCCTTTCGCGCAAGAACGAAACACGGATTGATTGATCCGTGTCTCTCCGTCATTGTTTCTACATTTTATTTGTAGGCTAGGGACAACACTACACCCCGTAAGGTTGCGAGTCAGCGCACAGGGGTGCGATCGATTTTCAAAGCGTAATTTCTCCACAGCCAGAAGGGTGCGAGCGCCAACTGGTACTTCTCAGGAAAGCTCTCGATGAGATATTTCCAAAACCGCCCTTCCTTTTCGACAGTGGTACCCTCGTGTGGTCGTGGAAAAATGACGCTTTGAAAAATGTGCGCACCCCTGTCTGTGCGCTGACTCGCAACCTTACCACTACTTTGTCTGCCGTGTGTCTATTACTCTGCAACGTCAAGGTTTATCACGGACCAAACCGTCGCTCTCAGGAGCAGCGATTGATTCGAGATCGTGCATCCACTCCCTCCCGTGTCGCGTTGTGTGTTTACTTACGGACGGGTGTTTTCTTTTTTTTCGGGGGGTGGGACGTTGGCCCATGACGCTCATGTTGTGGTTGTATTGGCGGGTAGTGTCGATCGCCATACATACACTGTTTGTTGCTGCACCACAACAACTTCGAAAAATGAAAAATATGGCAAGACAGAGGCAATCTAGGGGAAAAGTGGAGGGCCGTGACTAGCTGTCGTTGTGTTTTTGGCGGTCCGTGCAAGGGGTGTTGGGCTGCTTGCTTGCGATTGATTGTTTTCCCTCAAGTCAGGGAGCGACGGTTGGGAGGGGGCATCGCGTGAAGATCGCGATACGACAGCGACAGGGCTGGCATGTGCCTAGACGGCGGCAGTAGACTGGACGAACACAGCAACGTACTAGATACAGGCAGCAACAACGCGGTGGTGGTGGCAGAAGACGGGGGGGGGGGACAAGCATGGTACATACTATACATGCAGAGGAAGCCCCCCCCCCCCCCCAGTTAAAATTCCAGAAAAAGGGGGTCTTTTTTTAGGAGGGGGGAAAAATTGGGGACCGCCCAAAAAAAAAACTGGGAAAAAAAAAAATAACTTTTTTAATTAAAAACAACCAACCCCCCCCTCCCCTACAAAAAAGCCCTAAAAATATTTTTACGTTTGGATTCTTTCCCCCCAAAAAAACAAAAATTTTTCTCCCTTTAACGCTTCCATTTGGGGAAAAAAAAAAGG